TAAAATATTGAACACAATAAAATCATCACAAAAGGGCGCACATTTCTCAATAATTCAAATAAAAGTCAATGCTCCGTAAACAACGGGTTTTCCCAAAATTACTCAAAAATTACTCAAAAGGCAGCGGAACTCAAAAAGGCAAAATCCAAAGTTTTCCTTGCGCAACAACATAATCAAAATAACAATAATTAATAAAATATGGTTTAACTCAAACACCTAAACCCGATGTTACACTATCAGAGCAAGACCCTCTAAGTCAACCACAATGGCCAACGACCCAAAAACTTCAAAAAGTCCTTGACGGCATCCACGGCTAAACCTGGTCATCTGCATGTTACCCATGTGGAGGCAACATTCAAACAGGCAGGGTGAGTAAAACGATTCATAATAATCAATATAGGAATTAATATATAAAACAGCGTCATTTCCATATTCAACATCATCATAATCATCAAGGAACATCAAAGGCCAAAACATTATAAATTACACCAAATTGTCACATAAATGGGAATGCAACAAGACTCATGCATGTGGTACCAATCAACAAAATTCGACGGACACTGGGCCATCAACCCTCCATAGATTCGCAACAGTAGGATCGATTCTACACGAGAACCGGAGCACAACAAAATACCTCACATCCGCACAATAAGGCTGAAACCACAAGAATCAAGGTCCTAGATCGAAGTCCGGAATGCATATGAATGCATGATGTACACGTATAATCCTCATAACAAACTCATTAGGTGAATCATCATTCATCAAAATTATCATAATAATCATGTCATCATAGAATCACCAAAACCTCATGAAATCAACATTATAAATCATCATAATTACTCATGGGAATTCATTATACAGTCATGTATTAATCACATAAGAATCACAACTATACTCATAGTAATTCATCATACATTCATTTAATCACATAGGAATCACAGTTACACTCATGGTAATTTATCAAAGAAATCACAACATCAAAACATCAAGACATCACTGCACAAGATCATAATTCGTGAAACTTTGCTACATTCGCTAGCAAGTTCGTTGTACGAGTCTGGGGAGAATGTTCGTCGTGCGAACTCGCGATTACAACAAATCGCTGTTACATACCAGCACTAAAACCAACCTAAATACCTCTATGATTTCCTTCCCCAATACCCTAAAAACATCCCTAAATCATTCCTAAGGTATTACGGCGATAAAGGCACAAAATCTACGACTTATTACGCCAATCCCGTATCGTATTTAAGCCTCCAATTCCCATAAATCCTACAATTACCACACATTCACTAGAGTTCTCATAATCATTTACCCTATACGGTTAAAACCTCAACAACAGATTTTGGCCACGAAGGCCTAATTTCCCGTACTCCCAAATCAGCCTCAAACTTATCAGACCATTAGTTCAAATCCCTTATACTCATTAAACTCACTAGAAAGACAACAACAATTCAATACTCAAAATCCCTAAACCCTTAAATAGGCATTAAACACATTGAACCACATATTGAAAACAATGAAGGCAATGAAGGTAATACTCCCCATACCTTAATTGCTAACTCTAAGCCTTTCTCCTTGATTCTTGGAAACCTCGTGAAGCTTTGCCTCAATCATTTTTCTCAGAGCTCTGGCCTCTATTTCTTCCTTTTTCACGATCTAACAAGAATGAATCATAATTCCTTCAAAATTCCTTTTTGTTAAACCTAACTTTGAGCCTTAAAATGGGCTTTTCAATTTCACCCTTACTAACTCCTCCTCAAATGTCCATTTTACCCTTAATTCACTTATATTTATTTAAATTAATAATAATACCAATATATTTATATTATATACTATTATTTAAATAAATAATCCAAAACTCCATAATTCTCAATATTTCATACCAACCACCGAAAATCACCAAAAATACGAATATTCATATTTAAATAAATTAAATAAATATTCCAATAAATTTGGGGTGTTACAGATCTCATACTCCAAATCCTAAATATGCATGTCTTTTAATTATGATTTTCTTTCTACTTCCTGTGTTTTTGTGTATGCTTTGGATTATGTGTCTATTCCTAAGTTTACAGGTGAGGCTATGATTGATCCCAATTGGCGGCAGGCGATGGTGGAAGAAATGGCTGCTTTGCGTTCAAATAACACTTGGGATATTGTTGCTTTACCTTCCGACAAAACTACAGTAGGGGTTTATACAGTGAAAGCTGGACCAGATGGTCAAATCAATCATTACAAGGCTCGTTTGGTAGCTAGAGGATATACACAAATATTTGGCCTTGATTATGGTGACACTTTTTCTCTAATGGCCAAGATTAGTTCATTCCGTCTCTTTCTTGAAATGGCTGCTATTAATCATTGGTCGCTTCATCAATCAGACATTAAAAACGCCTTTTTACATAGAGAATTGGAGGAGGAAGTATATATGGACCAACCTCTAGATTTTACAGTTCCTGGAAATTCTAGACTTGTTTGTCGGCTTCGTCGGTCTCTTTATGGGCTGAAACAATCTCAACGTGCTTGGTTTGGTCGCTTCAGGTCTGCCTTGATACAGTTTGGTATGACTAGATGTGAATCAGATCACTCGATTTTCTTATTTCATTCCTCCACCTGTCAGCGCATCTTTCCTGTGGTCTATGTTGATGACATTGTTATCACTGGAGATGATATAGAGGGTATCCAACGACTCAAAACTCATCTTATCAACAACTTTCAGACAAAAGACTTAGGTCCACTTAGATACTTCTTGGGTATTGAAGTTTCTCAATCCTCATCATGCATTGCAATTAACCAACGTAAGTATGCATTAGACATCCTCAATGAAACTGGTATGCTTGATTGTCGTCCAATTGATACTCCTATAGATCCCAACGCCAAGCTTCTTTCGGGTCAGAGGGAGATGTTGAAAGACCCGAGAAGATATCAACGTCTAGTATGTAGACTCAATTATCTTACCGTCACCAGATCGGATATTACTTTTGCAGTGAGCATTGTGAGTCATTTCTGAATGCTCCTTGTGATGCTCATCGAAATGCAGTTATTCGGATTCTCAGATATATAAAGAATGCACCAGGAAGAGGCATATTATATGAAGATAAGGGTGATGCTAAAATCACGTCTTATTCAAATGCGGATTGGGTGGGATCACCGTCGGATAGCAGATCCACTTCCAGATATTATGTTCTTATTAGAGGAAATATGATATCATGGAGAAGCAAGAAACAAAACACAGTTGCATTATCTAGTGCTAGAGTTGAATATCATGTTATGGCAGCAGCATCAAAGGAATTTGCGTGGCTTAAGAATTTACTCTCAGAACTTAGTTTGGGAGACCTTCAGGACACAAGACTCATATGCGACAATCAAGCGGCACTTCACATTGCATCCAATCCGGTATTCCATGAACCGACCAAGCACATACAAATAGATTGTCACTATGTAAGAGAAAAAGTATTGTCAGGAAAAATAACCACAAAGTTCGTCAAATCTGAAGAACAATTGGTTGATATGTTTACCAAGTTTTTTAAAGGTTCTCGAGTGAATTATATCTGTAACAAGCTCGGATCATACAATATATACAATCCGAATTAAGGGGGTGTGGTGAGAATCGGTTACAAATTAATTAGTATTGATTTGTATTCAATTAGTCATAAGTGTAAATTATGTTATTACCTACTGTGTATACCTATTTTGCATATAAATATACAACATGTGTGATCATATTCGATACACAGAAATACAATCATAACAATAATCTTAAAAGTGACATTAATTCTCTCCAAATATGTTGATGCTAGATAAATGTGCGACTTCAACTATCCTAGTGGGAGTCTAACCAGTTGATTTAATACTTTTGCTAAGAGCATCTTTGATTTTCAAAATTCATTGTAGTCTCTGAGCATACTTAAGGTTTCGTTTGGGTCTCACTTAACACAAGGTGACGTGTAGAACAAGTTTTTATTCAAAGGAAGGACAATTTCTACAATATCAAAATACGGAATAATTGAGTATTTGAATGGAGGGTCTAGATTTGAGATACATCTACAATTTGAATTATCGAAGGCCCTCTACTGAGTTATTTCCTTGTAAAGTGATTTCGATAATTCAATTTTTACTTGGTCATTAACAAAAATAGAGTGACACATCACAGTTTCAAGTTAAAACTCGTGACAGGTTGAACAAGGATGAGAAAAGAACGATTGTGGTTTGTTTCACCTCAAAATTTCCGCTTACAACAAGATATTTGGGCCGTGCCAAGAATTACCCGGCTGTCTGCCAAAAGGATTAGACGGATGGGAGGAAGATTTTAGGTCCTTTGTAGGAATGTCAGTTATGCTCGAAGTCTCTCTTTCGTGTTCTCTCTCAAAGAAGATAAACATGACGTTGATGCCTGTTCATGCAAACAAAACTCTAACCACCAAAATCACATAGCAAAGAAGAAGTGGAATTCATCAATCCCCTCCTCACCCATTTAAGTAGAAAGTGATGAGTATTGGTGGAGAAAGCAAGGATCATCAATGGAAGTGGAGAATGAAGAATATCAATTATAAATATCAAACTGGATCGGAAGATTCAATTGGTTGAATCACTTGTAAAACCAAATGAATCAACCATACAATTAGTTTCAATGTTTTGAACAACGTTTTGAAAACCACTCTTCAACGTTAAAGAGTGACACTTCTAGCTTTATAAACTGGTTTTATAACAGTTAGCTGATCCCAAAATGAAAACTATATAAGAAAAGTAGACACTTCAACCACCTGATTGATATTTTAAAGGAGCTTTATATTTATATTGCAAATTCAATTTTCTTTAGGAAAACCTTTTTTCACCTTGTTAATCTGTTTACATGGTTCAGAACAAGAACAGATACATAAACATCTTGCTTCAAAACACATCCTTACAAAACCATACACCTCCAACCAAATTACCAACATTAACATAGACTTGAAATCCGCAGTTTTAACCTGTGCAAGCCAAGGCATGTTCCACTTCCACTAGTCATCATCAATATAGATAGTCTCTTGCTTAAACAGGCCACCAAATACCTTCCTAACCTCTTTTGGTGCTTCTGCTTTTCTTTTTTCTTCCTTCGGTTTACTAGCGCTGTTTCTCGGAGTTGTTTGTTTCGTCACAGCTAATTTCGGAATGAGACTCCGAGCCTTCGCCTGTCCCCTCACAGTAGCAACTTGCACCTTCGGTTTCTCATCCTCATCAGGCTTTTGAATTGAGGTGGCAACCTGTGAGCTGAACTTTTGCCATGAAAATCCTGCACCAAAATCTTTTGCCTTTTTCAAGATATCTTCCACTGGTGCTCCGTTTCCGGCTACTTCTGCCTTCTCTTGAGATTCTTGTTTGGAAAGGTTCTTTGCTGTTTCAGCGGCTTCACGTTCTTTTTCAGCTGCCGCTCTGGCCCCTTCTTCTGCTTTGGCTTTCTCTAATACTTCAGCATAGGCTTTCCGTCTTCCATCCTCCGGAATAGTGCTGCAAAGAATGTTATAAGTAACTATTTGCCTTCAATGGATGCTAAACACAAACAACATGTTCAGCTTGTTTACCTGAAAAGTTCGTCTACGGGCCTCAGGGGAGCATTTGGGTCAGAGAACACTTGCACAACCTATTGTTCAATACAAAGCTTCAATCTTAAAGGCAATTATTAGATCAATTCAAATGTCAAGATGCAATGTAGAAATGGTAGATGATCGAAGTTCATGGCAATCGTCTTACTAGATATCAAAGTACAGTACGTAGAGCTAATGTAAAACTGATACCTTGTTTTCTGCAACCTGTGTGTTGGAGAAGACATCAGCCACCAAGGATGCTATCTTAGACTTTGATACCTATATAACAATCATTATTGTCTCAAAAACTATTACACGCCAATATGGAAATAAGAAAGTAAAGGAAGGTTAAGAAAAGGACAATTTCATTAAGATATTATCGCATACATTACATTACTTTATAGTCGTTCGAACTGGTGCTTTCTTCGCCTGAGAAGACCAAATTATAAGAACTCTCTGGCGCAAAATCATCCGTCAAACTTGTCTTGATTAAGGTATATTTCACATCTGTTTCAACCACTTTCTGCAAGAACTCTTGAATAGACAAAGGTTGAGACCGAGAGAAGAGATTGTTGAAGAATGAGGAGATACCATCAAGTACATTGTTGGTTGATGCCCCAACGCTTTCGTCATAGATGACTGCAACATGACCCACACCTGCCAGCTGAGCAGCCTGAATTACTTGCAAGGCGTCTGCTGTGGAGACCTCTGTCGTTGGACCGTTCTCTGCGGGACCAATTGTGACAATCACTTTGCTTGCATTGCCTATTGCTTTTGCTATTGAGTCTGCATCATCAAAGCTCGACTGCACAGCATTGAGACGCTTTGCCTCTTCATTTGATATAATCTGTGCATTAGTAGCCCAATTTACTCCAAATGGAAAATTTCATTAAAACTTAATCAAATAGTCTAATATCATGCTTTAATGCCATGAAATATTGTACCACTGTCATGAAACTAACGAGTAGACACAGACACAGACACGTACTACCTAACATGCATTCAATACGTTGGTGCTAATAATTACCTTATATTGCGCAGCAAGACGAGCCAATTCCTGAGCCGAACCAAGTTCAGGAACACCAGCTCTAACACTAAACCCTTCTCTAAGCAAAGTCTGTGCAATGCGAATACCAGCTTGACCGGTAGCACCAGCAACAAAAACAGTCGAAGAATCCTTACGCCTTGGACTTCCAAACGAAAATCCCGGCGCAGAAGAGTTGTTATTCCCAACAGGAATCAAAGAAGTCACATCAGGTAACTTCCCAAAGTTGAAACCAAAAGGGTTATTACTAGAATTTGCTGAACCATTTGATTGGTCTTTTTCTTCATCTTTTGGTTTTCCTTTTCCCAATCCAAACGAAGGAAATGATCCTCCAGATTTCTTAGCATAGACACTGAACCTTGATGGACTCCGAAATGTGGACCTGGAATGAGGTGTGGTTGTGGTTGGTATAAGAGAAGAATTGGATGTAAGAGTGGGAACCATGGATGATGGATATAGTTGAGATTTCCAAGCTCACACACTGTCTTGTTGAATGTGTTTTGGTTTGTGAAAAAACATAGTAATGTGTATAGCTTTTGGTTTGAACCGTTAATCTGGTTTGGTGGTGGTTTGGGAATTATCTGAATGGAAGAGGTAACCGGAAGGTAGCGAATTGGGTTTAGACACGTAATCAGAGTTTATCCATTGATGAAATATCCAACACCAAACGTTTATATTCCATGGAAAATGATGTTCTATTTTCATCCATTCGTGTAGAATCCTAGATTCCAAATTTATACTAGTATATCTTCTAAATTCTTCTAATTGTGCTTCAAATCGTCATTACTTTTTACTGGTTTTTTTATGTAATAAACAATATGTAAAAACTAGATTTTTTAACCCAAATAACCCTTTTTTTTTAAATAAATTTCATAATAACTAACATTTTCACTTATTTAGCAAATATACATTTTCAAAACAAAAAAAAAAAAATACATCGCAGAGCTTTGATCGGTCGAATTAGCGGCTTCAATTAAAAAATAAATAATAGTGTCAATTAAATTAACAACTACATGCAAACAGAGACTGTGTTAAAAAATTTAAATTGTCGAAAGGTGACATATTAATTTATAAATTAACATAATAATATATGCAATTTCTTTTTTCTTTTAAAAAGTTATACATCATTATTGTTATCTTTTATGAGATTTAATTTTTAAAAATGTATTTAATTTGTTTTTATTTTTTATTTGTGTAATTTTCTCAATTTTATTATTAATAAAATTATCTATCTATCTTTATATAAAATTAATGTAATATATATATATATATATATATATATATATATATATATATATATATATATATATATATATATATATATATATATATATATATATATATATATATATATATATATATATATATATATATATATATATATATATATATATATATATATATATATATATATATATATATATATATATATATATATATATATATATATATATATATATATATATATATATATATATATATATATATATATAGTGTTCATGGGTAAGGACAAACTCGCGTATCCACTCACTCAACTCAATTCAACTCTTATTTTTACCCAAATCAATCATGTACGGGTGCAACTCGAACCAACCCATTCAAACTCATTGAAATTTGATTCAGGTAACGGGTTTGAAGTTTTAAATTCACGAATCCGCGAACTCAACTCATTGATATGTCACACTATTTTAATTTATTTTATTTATAAATTATCTCGTATAATTCTTACAATTCATATATATTTTTTAATATGATTATAGTTTTAATTAATTGTAAAAGCCCAAATCTAAATCAAATTTAAGAGATCAACTTTATTTATTCAAAGACAGGTATATCTTAACTTTTAAATTATACTTTACACCATTTGTATATTATTCTAGCTTTATATGAATCGTAAAAGAGTTTTTAGGTACTAACCAATAAATTTTATTCATATTGAATACTAAAAGTTTATGGTTTTTTATTATTTTTGTAATATAAACGTGTTAATTAAATTGATATATTTTATTTAGAATTTAAAAATTATATTTAGCGGATGACCCACAAATCCAACACAACTCAACTAATTAATGAACGGGTTGGTTTGGTTCGGGTTTAGTTTTAAAAGTACGGGTTGAACACTCAACTCAACCCAAAGAATATTGATCAGATCATGTATATATAGAAGACGTACCATATGAGAATGTCATTTTTATAAGAGAATGAATCTGAATCATTAGATTTTAAAATGAATGGTGGAGATTATGTGTCATTTTTTCTCTCTCTCTCCATCATTTATTGCAATAATGGAGGAGAAGAAAAAATCACACATAATCTACACCATTTATTTTTAAATCTAATAGTTCAAATTCATTCTCATGTTTTCACATAAAAATAACATTCTCATATATATATATATATATATATATATATATATATATATATATATATATATATATATATATATATATATATATATATATATATATATATATATATATATATATATATATATATATATATATATATATATATATATATATATATATATATATATATATATATATAGAGAGAGAGAGAGAGAGAGAGAGAGAGAGAGATAATTTGGGGTACATGCCTCCAGACTCACACACCTAGTTTCGTCTCTGCATGCAAGGTTAAACACTAGTGCCAGTTCAACCGATAACAATGTGTTAGATACTTATTTTTAGTATAAAAAGATGCTTTATATCATTTATTTCACACATTTTCTCATATTCTTCTTATTCTTTCTTCTTATCTTTTCTTCATTAGGTTTATCATGATTGTTAAAAGAAATGGGCATGTATATTATTCAGCAACGAAACCTCTAATGAAAATGTGTTTTTAGAACATTCAAAGTTTCAAGCACCTAGAAAGGAGTTTGAAAAATTGGTTAGACGGAGAGATTAATGATGGAGAAAGAATTAGAAGTATCGAGAGTTTTGTTTCGTACATCTCAATTGCAAATGACAATAATGTTATCCAGCATATGTGGGTGCGAGTTAAAGATGATAGGGATATGATGTCTACATCAGATGATGTTGTTTTGATTGTTGTAATCTCTTGGAGATGTTTTGGTGTTAAGTCTTTTTAATTTTTGTTTGTGTTGTTGTTTTAGGCGTGTTTATGTTTGTGTGCTATTTGTTTTAAGGGTATTATGTTAATATTAAGGTTACAAAAATTTAAAGAAAAATAAATAAATTATCATGCATAACTTGCTCCAACATTGGGACAATTTTTTATTGTGTTCAGGCTAACGGTATATTCTACATAATCTTACCACTTTATCAGTCGTGTCCATTTCTGTTCTAATACGCGTGCTGCTAGGGCAACCCATTTTCTTCCTTTGCATATTATTGTTGTACAAAATTATGTCCCCTTAATTTATAGGTTAATAATCCTCTGTTTCTACCACCGGGAAGTTATTATTGTAGACATTAAATATGTTTATGACTTTGTAAACGAAAGGTAGATGCTTGGAAGCGTTCTGGCGAGCATATGAACATGCCGCAATGACATGGGAGCAAGGCATACTGAAGACTTGAAACTTGCCACAGTCACACCAACCTTTATTTTGTTCGACCTTATACTCTCAATTCGGCCTCCCCTCCTTATGGTACATCGTTTTCTTTACCCTAAAAATGTGTCTATGACGTTCAAAGATTGTAACCACATGTGTGTTAGCTTTGATAGTTTCCTCCTCCGTCATTTTCATGTAGCTTTCACTAATAATTGCCCTGACCATGAAACTAAACTCCATTTTCGCCTCTGGTTGCGAAAAGTGATCCCAACCTAAAATAGGTTGCTCTCACCAACACAGTTATTGCTAGGTTTTAATGCCTATAAAGGCATCGTTCTTGGATTCCATAAGGTTTGTTTTCATGTGGCCCCTTGATGTTCTTCACCAAATGCCCTTGTTCACTTCTCAAATGAAATGTTATTCACTCACCTTAATGCATATGTGTTTGACAATCTAATTTCCTCGTGGTATTGTCGTAATGATAGTTTGTTTAAACCATACTCTGAATTCACAATTTTTTTTCCGAAGGTTCTTGTCTTTGATTTCTCGCATGAAGTTTTGTGAAATGTGTCTAATGCAGTAGACATGACTAGAAGGATGATTGTATCATCCGTTATCAGGATCATCGTATGCACTCTCAATAGATGTATGTCTGTCTGAAACGCAAAGAAAGACACATTTACATTTTATGGATGCATCATTTTGCTCCAAGCATGGGTTGTTCTAGATTGTCGTCCCTAGCACCCATCAACAACAACAACTTCACATTCCCCTACGCACAAAAGTAAGTCAATAACATTATTTCTATTTACTTACTTTACCCATTATTATTTTTAAATAATTTATTTTAACTTTTTTGATTTAGATGGTCCGCTCCTGGTATGACTTACAACAGATGTCCTAGACACTATATCACTCAGTATCACATTCTCTTGGATCACCTTAAACTATAAGATGCATTGCCACTAAACTAATCAATTCATAATAATTTATTTTTAATATTATCCAATTTATAATCTAATTTATTATTCCTCTACAATTTATTTGGCAGCTATCTAGGCATGGAACATCATCATGAAATTAGAAAAGAAGATGCAGTCGTTTAGACTATATGCACATCGATCATTAGGTTCACCATTGTTGAGATACACCATAATGAGTGTGTGAAATTGCAGTTCGGCATGAGTCAACAAATTCCAGATCCCCCAACGTGCCTCAGACAATGTCATCAATGCTAAATTAAGGAACAATGGGCCTTTGAGAATTAGAAAGACTATTTGAGTGTCATAAATAGATGCATTGTAGTCAATGAGTCTTACATGACATTGTGATGTCAACCGAAACTAAACCAACTAATAATTATATGGCTTTGTACATAATGGTTGCAATTGGGTTTTGTTGTGAATTAGGATGCCTGAAAGCAAAATATATTTGGTTTCTTTATGATCAAGAAACTCACAAGGGTTAGGGTTAAGGAAAAATAAGAAGAACAATAAGGATTGGTTATAATTGTTATTCTTTATTTTTTCTATAAAACAGATTACAGGTACTCAAGAATAACAAATAACCCTCTCACCTTAATTAGGTTTTTCCACTCCACACATAAGATGAGAGACTAGTATGCTATTTATAATAAAACCTAACATACTAAACTAATGGGCCTTTAACAATTACCCATTACAAGCTAACTTAAATAATTGGATCCTTAACACAAGGTCCAATTCGACAACTACATACTAAAACACAATTTGACTACAGCATGTAGGTCTTCGATAACAGCATGTGAAAAAACTTTTACGGCATGCTAACTAGAGTTCAATATAATATCTCACAGGCTTGTCTATGAAGATAGGTATTTTTATGACCTACACCGAAATACTTACACACAAGAAACTTCAATGTATAACCCCCCCCCCCCCCCCTC